GCACCGATCGCAGCAACAGATGACGAAGCTGCAGTGAAGGGTGATGATGGCACCGGTGGAGGGGCAGCCCGTGCTGTGCTGGCGAAGACGAAGACCACAATAAGAAAGTGGATTGACAACAGCACACAGAAGAAGTTGGACATTGCGTGGGCGGAAGCAATGTTTAGGGCTGGCATTGCTTTCAACTTCTTGAACTTCAACACCACGCAGGCTCTTCACGACGCTTACTTGGAGGTTGCCAATGCAAAGCCGAAGGTGAAGTTGCCTACCTACAAGCATATGCAGACTGTCATGTTGGACTACATCTTCCTGAAGGTCCAGAAGTCAATCAACCCCTTGACTGCTTGTTGGGACAAAACCGGCTGCACATTCATCACAGACGGATCAAAAGATATGAATTTCGTAGCAGCGGGGGAGAAAGGAGCAGTTCCGGTGACCACGGTTTACATGACTGGGAGGAAGAAAACCGCAGCAGCATTGCGATGTTGTGAGAGCAGGTGATGGGGGAGATCGGGCTCAAACGGATCGACGCGATCTGCACAGACAACGCTGAGGTCAACAAGAAGGCGGCGCAGATCTTGGAGAGGCGGACCGACAGAGACGTTGCAAGGATACCGTGGGTGCCATGTGGAGCACATTGCTGCCATCTGTTGTTGAAGGACCTCAGCAGTTTGAAGACGGTGAACACGATCGTGAAATTCATCAGGAACCATCGCACCACACACGATCTCATGATGTTCCTTGATGACTCGTTGTTATTGCTGCGCCCGACAGAGGTCCGGTTCAGGTCAATGTACCAGATGCTGCAGAGGCTGGCGGGCAGGGAGGAAGTGTTGAATGGGATGGTGGACGAAGGTTGTGCAGCGAAGTGGCGGGCATTGAGATGGTCGGGAGAGAAGCTGCAGAAGAAAGCCGACCTTGTCTACTAGACTGTGAGGTCAAAGAGTAGGTGGGCCACAATCAGGAAAATTGTGGCAATTATGGAGCCGGTGTACAACCTCCTGAAGAGGATGGACAGGGAAGGAGTTTCTCCCACCAACCTCGTGGCGTTCGACGATCTCATTGCGAGGAAATTAGCAAACGTCAGACTCACGAAGAAGGAGAGGGATGATGTGATGGACAAGGTCATGGACCACGTGCAGATGATGCGGCAGCCCGTTCATGCAGCTGCGTTTTTGTTGGATCCACGGAGGAGAGACCCAGGCTCCCTTGTACAAAACGCAATGCGAATCGGAGCAGAGCGGAGTGGGATTCGAAGCCGCACATGGACATGTGGGATCATCTCTGTGAGTTATTGAGAGAGCCTGTGGAAGGGGAAGTCAGGACAAATGAACACATGTGGACACCAGTTGCCATCAAGCAAGCAACACGACATACGCCTGCGGACTGGTGGACCTTGTACCGTGGGGATGTTCCAGATTTGCAGCAGATCGCCATCAACGTGTTGGGAATGTGGAGCACGCCGTCACCCGCCGAGCGGAACTGGGCAGCGATGGACTTTGTCCATTCGAAGCGCAGAAACAGCCTCTCGCCAGAGTCCTTAGAAAAGCTGGTTTACATTCACTGGATCATGTAGTTGTGTGTTCCAAATAGCAAGGACAATGGCTACGTCGATGTGTGGGGATCCTTCTTCGAGCCATTCATGCAGCCGGCAGCGGAAGATGGAGTTGTCGAGGACGCCACGGAGGATGAGACAGCGAACAATATCGAGGAGGAAAAGAGGCAAAAGAGACTGAAGAAGACTCCAAAAGACTGGATTCCAAAGAGTCTGCTGTAGGACGACTCAAGTGGGAGTAGTGATCTTGAGGATCTCGAGAGGAAGGGGAAGTGTTGGAACGAGTTCACTTCAAAGGAGAGTGACGGTGAGGTTGACATTGGGGAGGACTCAGATTTCGAGTTGGGGGGCAAGCCGGCGGTGCCAGCCACCACGTAGGTCGGTCGAAGGCTTAGGAGGCGAGAGAAGGAGGCAAAGGTGCACTACGTACGTCGGTCGGAGGCTTAAGAGCCGAGAGAAGGAGGCAGAGGTGCTGCCTTCCGAGCCCATCGACGGACTGGACACTGATATCTAGTTCTTGGCGCCCCCTCCGCCTGAGGCAGACGTGGAGGAAGCAGCTCGGGCCAAGGCTATGGCAGATAGGAATGCCGCTTTATTCAGAGGCGGACGTGTGAGGAGGAGGCTTGCTGTGCTGTGGTAGCCACCCGGAGGAAGAGAGAGAGACAGAGCAAAGAGGTCAGACAACATGAGGAGCAGCATAGTGATGAAAAGCATGAAAGGGTGGACAACATGGAGGTAGATGAGGCTGTCGTGCATGCGGAACATGAAGGGAGTTTGCAGCATGCAGGAGTGGATATTGAAGCACTTGGAGAAAAAAATGTGCAGCAAGAAGGAGAAAAGAGTTTGAAGCAAAAGGGGGGTGATATGGAGGATGCAGAAAAAAATCAGCAGCAAGACGGAGAGGAACTGCAGCAACCAGCACACACCAACGGTTTACGCACGAAGACCCCGCCCACCGGCACTGCAGCAGCCTGCACCTCAAGAACCACGGGAGGACCAGCAGGCTGTGGATGTGGAGCAGCCAGAAAAACTCGGATCAACGGTGAGAGGAGCGGTCCACTTCGGCAGACCCCCGTACCCAGCACAGAATGAGGATGCCCAACACAACAACATCTAGAAAAGCAGGTTGGGGCGAAAAGGGAAGAGGCTCCGGTGAATGAAGTCCCCGCACCACGTCGCGGGAGGCCCCGCAAGGAGAAGACGGGGCACGAAGCTGCACCAAAGTGGGAACGTGGTCGTGGCAGGCCCTGCGAAGTGCAAGTCTTGGAGGATGACCCCGACTCAGATGGCGGCGGTGCAGAGTCCCCCGACGATGAAGAGAACATGACGAACTGCTGCAGATCTTCATCTCTATGAAATTTCTGTCATGAGGTCTCATCTTTCTGTTCTTCTTCTTCTTCTTCTTCTTCTTCTTCTTCTCCTTCTCCTCCTCCTCCCCTCTTTTCTTCTTCTGCTATTCTTCTTCTTTTTCTTTACCCTTCC